ATGGACAAACTGTATTATTATTAGTGGAACCAAATAAACTTTTAACAGCAGGTGAATTTGAATTATTATTTGTTGTTTGATTGGTATACTTTGAAACAGGATATCTCCTTAAGTAATTCTGTTCACGATTCTGTTCTAATGTTTCTAATAAATCCGCGCGACCCTTAAGAAAGTCTTTGAAACAATTCCACGACGGTAATTCTTGATTACATTTACGTTGCTCCCATTCGCGAGCTGTCACATAATCCAGTTTCATTGTCACAATATGAATCAGTAAAGTATCCCAATATTCAATTGGTTGATTCAATTTTGCCAATGAATTGAGATTTTTTGAAATTGTATCAATTAGATTCCTAATATCCGATGAAGACTCCCTTTTTATTTGCTCTAAAGCGAATAATGATGAAACATGGTTGTGGACTAACAAACGTGTGTTATTATACCTATCACACAATGCATTCCATGCTACTGTATAATTATCACTGGAAAATTCAAGGGACTTTATAACTTCAGCGGCACCACCCTCTAGAGAAGCTCGTAAATAGTGAAATTTCTCTATACCTCCTATGGCGTTATTTGCATGAATTAAACTTTGAAACGTATCTCTGAATTCTAGCCATGTACGATAGTCTCCACCAAATTTGGGTAATGAAATGATTGGTAGTCTGACTGGATTATTTTCGGAAAGAGTTCTCAGTACATTAGGTGTCAAAGATCTGACAGATTTGTTATCTTCATTTTTGTTATAATTTGAAACAACATTTCTTGCGAAAGATGTTAATGAATAAAATTGTTGTTCAAAGGCTTCACGTATAGTATATTGTTCTTCACAGTCATCATCTTCGACACTTAATTCAATCAAATTTTGAGTATCATCAAATTCTCCCAACAATAAATCGACTTTAGAAAGTCTCTGTTCAATTTGCAAAACATCAAGATCATTTAGAGAAGGTTTTTCCTTAATTGAATCAATATATTTTTGAAATAGAGTTAATTTAGCTTTGATTCCACCTCTCTTTCTATTCAAATCTTCGTTGGACATTACTGATTTGGGGAATTTTTCCAATCTTTGCCAATACAGATCGAAAGCAATATATACGATTGAATGAAGGATAGGGTTAGGAAATGGATTAAGGGAGACACGATGAAATACCTTTCTGGCCTAAGAAACTGTATCACTACTCAATAGCTGGATCAATTTCTCGTATCTCGTCCACTGCCGCCGCACGCCTCTCAATATCTTGCTGGCCAACTGATTCAAATATTCGGTTCGACAGACCAATGTTCCTTCTTAATTGTGGACTGTATAAGAGTTTTTACTAAAATTGCGAATATTGCTGACAAGACTTTATTTTATGACAGACTTGTACATAACAACATCAAAAATTATGATCAGCCTTCTCAGGACAAATTGAAAACTGGCAGTAGTATACAGAGGGTTGTAGTATACAGAGTGTTCTCTGTAACAATTAGACCTCTATATTTTGGCATATTTCCTGCCGATGAAACGTTCCCAACAAACTATCATACTAGTGGTCTAAAACGATTAATATAAGAACTACAGGTACTTCAATATCTTTCGCCGAACGACAATGATAATGAACAAATGCCAAGTTATCCAAGTTTGGGGTCATCCTGTTAATCTGAGCAGTCCTATATTTTTTGGGATAATTATAACAATAATCATTCATATTTTATTAAAAAACTTTTGGACAAAGAATATTGAAGTACCTGTAGGTAGATCGCAAATTGATAAATTTAGATCACAAGTGAGATAGTTTGTTGGGATCGTTTCATCGGGAGGAATATAAATATGTCGTCAGAATATACAGGTTGTCCCATTATTAATCGTGAATCTGATGTCACGTGACTGGAAACAAAAAGCTCATTGGATAGCATGATATCCAAAACAGCTTCAATTTACAACCTCTAAATTTCACTTAAAGGTACGACCGACACCAGTTTTCTTCTATCTAGTTCGAGAATGGGACTTTGCCTTTAAGAGTGTCCAATTTTAGCCTACCCAATACATAGCTTTTTCAATATAATCAAGACTGACAAGCTGATGCCAATTGCAATTGATTTTCATTGTATTCATCAGTTGGAACAAAACATATATTGGACCAACATGTCGGCCAATAGAAACCCGTTTCAACGAACACATCGCATATAAAAAAGTGACTCGCTCTGTACAACTTTTATCACGTCTTAGGAGACTGAGAACCGGCATTAAAGCTGAATTATGGGTGTAAATAAGTGTAGGATTCATCATTCTAGGCTATTCTGCGCAAGTTATGTCCCGGGAACCATTCAGGGAAGGTTTCAACGGGGGATGAGGAAGAAAATATAGAGCTCCGGGAGAATTCCACTCGGACTCCGACTGGGAAGACTACCCTAAACTTTGCTCCATTCAGTCAACCCTTATCAGTAGCGTAGCTAAATGATTTTCTTTTCAAATTGAGAGAATAAGTACAGTATCTGTCCTAGCTATTAGAGAATTTGTCATGCCCATCTGCTGTTTTTGTGGTTCCTAACATCAGGTTCTTGACAGTAAGCTGTAAAAACCTTCTCATACGAGGAATAATTGCTCCCTTTGTTGCATTTCAACGCGTTGTTGGGTGGTGGTGATTATATTTCATGAGTTTTTTTCAATATCTCAGGATAGTGGTACCCGACATTCCCCCTTTCCAGATATAATAAAGGCTTGAGGTTTGGTAGCGTTGAATACAACTAGGATTGTGGTTCCCCAGGCTGTGATTGTAGCAACATCTTCATTGACATCGTCGTGAGTTTTTAGTTATCTGGGAAGAAATGTGAATTCTGAAAGAGAACACAGTATGGAGTTCTATCATCTGTTGGTTACTCCCAGCAGATTATTCATATGGAGTAGGAACAATGTTTGTGCCAAAATTGATCCTTGTGGAATTGATGACAATGTTATCAGAAGATACTCCGTCCACTACTACATGGAGCGATCTGCCTGAAAGAAAACTCGATGAGAGATGGCATAGCTGAGGTGGTAAGCCGTATGATGGTAGTTTATGGAGGAATCATTGACACATACACAGTAGTAGTTCACCTGAAAAAGCTACTGTGTAAGCGAAACATATCGTGTCATTGAGAATTTTGTGGAAATCTTATCGTTTCTTTTCATGTTCTGGTTCCCACGAAAAGGGATATCCTGTAATGTTCAGAGAACATCGTGAGAACCAAGGGAAATAAGGTAGGAATTGGTGTTCTCCTTGAATTTCTGGAAGTTATATGCCTCGGGGAACACTCCCCTTGGCAATGTGTTCCAGAGCCTCGCTGTTCGTTGGATGAACGAGTCTTTGGAAAGTGATGTTCTGCAGGTCTCCAAAGTGACTACGAAATTCGAAGCCTCAACTCGACGGGTTAATCTCGTGGGGACTGCCAACAACAATTGTTGATATTTCAGAAGAGCATCATCCATAAAAATATCTATAGAATAGAGCCAGATCGACAACTTTTCTACGGTGTTCCAGAAGAGTGAGTGAGTTTGTGAGCGAGGCATCACCCACGAGACGAATTGCCCTTTTTTGGACAGAATCCAACAATTTCAGGGTTTGTTTGGGTGCTGCACTCCAAATATGGGAACAGTATTCCAGGACAGGTCGGATCTGTGCCTTACAGATCATAAGGAGATGACTGAAATAATTGATCTCACGTGATTTTACCAAGAAAGGTTATTGCTGATAGTAATACCAAGCATCGAAATGGATGTCTCCAAGGTATGCTCACTCCTAACAAACTCATATTGGGCACAGTGAGATTGGCTTTGCTAGAGAAAATACATGCTTGTGTTTTGTTTGCATTGAAATCTACCAAGTTATTGGATCCCCATTCGAGAATTGTTGTCAAGTCCATATTCACGTTGTCAACATTTCCCCCTCGGTCGTTTCTGATTTGCCTGGCTGGTATTGGATACTCCGGAAGGGAAATGAGAATTCTTACCTGTGCAATTTTTTGTCCGTGTTCCTTCATCCTAGTGAAGAAGACGTTCCCCACTCCGCCTAAGTGTTGAACGGAAAAATCGACCGGATCGGTCTTGATGATGTTTCCTTCTCGCCAAAAATGCATCTCGCTATTTGCATTCGTTTACACACACTAATCTATCGCAACTGATTCCAACGAAAAACCGATAAATCGATCGAGATCCCCATTCGAGAATTGTTGTCAAGTCCATATTCATGTTGTCAACATTTCTCCCTCGGTCTTTTCTGATTTGCCTTGCTGGCATTGGAGCCCTGGAAGAGAAGGCGGTATGGTGGGTACTATCATCCGTGAAGCTGTGTACTGGACATGAAGTTGCTTCCAACAAATCATTGATATAGAGTAGAAATAGTGTTGGTGTTAGAATTGATCCTTGCGGAACACCAGCATTTATGATAAGAGAGTCAGATGAAACTCCGTCGACCACTACATGGAGAGACTTGTTTGAGAGAAAACTAGCTAGCAGAGAACATAGCTGGGTAGGCAAGCCATAAGATGGGAGCTTGGCGAGTAGTCCGTGGTGCCAGACTCGATCGAATGCCTTGGAGATATCAAGTGCCACGGTTAGGTAACAACCAAGGAAATAATCACGTCGGAAGTTCGGTGTACGGTCTCAAGGAAGTTTGAGAAAGTTCGAGAGAGTTCTAGAGAGTTTGAGGAATTCGAAGATATTTGAGATGGTTCTAGGAATTCCGGGAGAGTTTGAGGAATTTTGTGGAAGTTTTTTTCAATGGGATACGGCTACAGTAACAATAACGTACGGTGACTTTTCGTGAATGACTCTGCAGCAATGCTAACTCGACTATCTTATGAACGAAGCGAATTTGCCACATTCACATGAGATTTTACTTCCGTTCTGCCCGTCCTGGTTTGCCGCCTATGGTCATCCAGTATTGATTGCGAAGTTAGGCGGGAAATTCGTGATGATTCGTTCCGGGAATAGCGAAAATTCGTTCTCCATCGCATCATACGATTTTCATCTGTTATAGGTGTCCTGTCGAGAGAGATTGTTTTCCAGAGCCCCCAGAGATCGACTACGAGATAATGATCGGGATATCAAACGGTCGAGAACTTTCGTGGTGAATCAGTGATTTTTAGTGGTATAGAGAGTGTGGTGGTTTTGAAAATTCGGTGAGTATCTGGCATTGAGTGTGTGAATTTTCTTGAAATCAGAAGTGCAATGAATTTTTCCTCAAAGAATTTTTTGAAAATCGTGGTAGATGCTGGTAGGAAATGTCAGAATAATACGTTTCAATGCTCTGGGGTTTCTCTTCAATCATCGAAAATATCGGCGAGAACTAATTGAAAAAAACACCGACTCATAAGCAACAATAGTTGTTGGTGTTTTGAGAAAATAACTACACCAGTTGGAATTTGCGGTGATGGATATACAGTGCTGTTCTTCAATGCCCCTCTCCTTTTATTTTTTGAACAGGTCGACTGAAAACGTTGAAACTTGGTATGATGAGATCGATGCATGAATACAATATTTTGAAGTAAGATTGACAGATGAAAATTTCAAGATGATGACTAAGCGCCATCTGCCACCTAGAACAAAATGACGAAACATTTGATAGTTGCTGGAATACAAACACAATAATACGGATGTTGTGATCCAACAAGATGGAGCACCATCACATTAGTCCAGACAACTTGAAAACATTTGTATAATACTATTTTCGGTCGTTGGATTGGTCGTCGTGGTCCTACGGTATGGCCAGCCCGCTTGCCAGATTCAACACCTTTAGACGTTTTCCATGAAACTATTTGAAGCAACATGGGTACAAAACTGCTTCTGCTTCAATATTAGATATACGACAGAGAAAGATAAGTATTTGCAGAAATATCGACGTATCGATCTTATATTCAATATCACTCCCACTACCAAGGTTGTCCTCGTTGAAATGTTTGTCTTTATTTACCAATTTTTCGTTTATATTACTCGTACTATTGTACCTATAGGTGAATGGAATTATTATTATCATATTATATAATTATTATTAATTATCCGCCATTTTGTGGTAGGTGAAGATATTGCGGCTACATATTCTGTGGTTGTAAAGTATTCGTCAGGAGCTTCAAAAGGATGTATCATGAGCCGCCTCTCTCCATTTGATTTTTTTCCCAGCTGGTCGCCATCTTGAAATTCTCATTTGTCAATAGTATTCATGCATCTATTTCATCAACCCAAGTTTCAGTTTTTCCAGTCGACCCGCTCACAAAATAAAAGGGGGGGAAGAAATTGAAGCAAGGGACTGAATGATCCATTGTATATAATATGCAATTTTCTATTTTACTTTGGTATGATTGCCAATTGAACTTGCCAATTCTGGGCTATCTGATTGTCATTTCCACTTGGAAACTGAGTCTTGTGTTATTCGATACGCAAACTCCAGATTTTATAGGGAATTTAAAATCACCACCATCATTCAAAGTTCCTAGCTAACTTAGATTTCTATGCTCATCATTAGAATCTGGAAAAAGTCAACTTTAGTTCCTAGAGGAACATATTTCATATGAAAACCAACCCTCTACCACACGTCAAAAATCGCAGATAGGGAGAAATATAGGATCAAATCAAATAGATACAACTCTTTCATGTTATTTTTACGCTTTTCTGCCAACATACAAAACTTCAAAACAGTTTTATTATTAAAATCTTATGATCACTTCTCTTAACTGATTACATTCCTGCAAATCACGGTATCAAAATCAACAATTGATCTGACTTAAAAAGAAACTCTATTCGTTCAAATACAAGAAGTGCATTTCCTACCGTACCGAAATACCAGCATCGCCACCACAATCAATAAAAAACCCCAACTAAACATACAAAAACACTCTCACCTTTTCAACTCTCCACCCTCTAGCGGACCCCGATGAGCCACACCTACCATGGCCCAATTCGTCACCCACATCCAGCCCACTCTCATCGAGTCCGCCCACCATCACATACCTCACGCCCATCACCACAAGGACCACAAGGACCATAAAGACCACAAGGACTACTACAAAGACAAGGACAAGGACCACCACCACGGCACGTCCAAAAGTCCGCACAAAGGCGGAACCGACCACGCCCACAAGGGCGGGACTGACCACGCCCACAAGGGTGGCACTGACCACGCCTACAAAGGCGGGGCCGACCACTCGGTGATCCCGGGACATGTGAGGGAGTACCCGGTGCTGCCTCACACGCCTACTGAGCACCACCATCACCACCAGGAGGTGGAGTCAGGCAAGAGGGATTCGAGGAGTTACGTGGACTCGCACGGGTTTTCGCATTCATTCGAGCTGCATTTTATCGATGCGCAGGGCATCACGAGGGACTGTCACGGGCACGGTATAGAGGATGAGCAGAGGAGGGAAGTGCCTAGAGAGGAGAAGCACCATAGGAAGATAAAGGAGGACAAGTCGCCTTATAAGGAGGAGGGGAGGAGGCCGGAGCCTCCGCATTTTATCGATATACAGCCGGTGCATTTGGAGAATAAGCAGCACGTGAGTACCGATTGCTAGTTGTTTGAAATAGAGAGTAAACAAATGTTGTGGTAGGCTTCTATCGATAGACAATAGTGATTGCCGACTATTGAATGAGAAAACCTTGATGGAAGCGTTTATGGGAAGAAAAATAAGATAAGAATAAGGTGACCAATAAATTAGGACTAATGAATATTCCTGTTTTTATTTCAACGACCATACTGATGAGAGAGGAAAGAATAATAATCAGAGATGACTTCTCCTTGTAGAACCAAAATAAATGATATCAGTGGAGGCTTTTATTGGAATATAGCAATAAATAAATAATATAAGTATGAAGTGATCATCAGAAAGTTTCATAAGACACTATTTTCTCGCACGCGTTGTTTGGAGTACGAAAAGCGAAGCGAGGAGTAAAGACGCAAAATGGGAATATTGTTGAAGGCTTCTATTCTATTGTATTGAATGCATCAGGGGCGAATATACTGAGCCCTTAAAGATCTATTGTGCCCCCTTCTTTCGCTATACCTGACGAGGGTGTTCTTAGTAGCTGTAGCAATTCCAAGTAGCCCTATATCCTTCAGATATTTCAGGATATGAGGTAGTTAAAGGTAGACTAACTCCTTCTCCTCTATCATCCTCTTCGCCACAGAACCTGCATTCGTCCTCCTCTGCTAAGCTTCCTAAGATGTCATTTCAACCGGAAGTGCCCTTTTAGGACTTCCTCCAGTATACGAAGCTTATTTTTGCTTGAGTTATATGCACCCAGTAGTATATTAGCATGTATTAGACCTTGGAGATTTCACCAGATGTCAAGTTTCTGTTTAGTTTCTCATTTTCTGATTTCTTTTGATATAGTACTGCTGTTGATCCCGCAGAAAGGTTCTGGTGTGCTTGCTTCCTAGCGAGTTTCTCTGCTACTTCATTTCCTTCTACTCCGGAATCTCTTGGAACCCATAGAAGGAAAGGGTGACTGTATTTCTATTGGCTAGCTCGTTCAGTTTCTCCTGGCTTTCTTGAACCATTTTAGATCTGATGGTGATAATGATATCTCATCTTTTCTAGCTTTTTTCAGACCGAACTGTATATAGTTGTCTAAAGCGTGAACATCCGCCTGAAATGTGCTTGGGAATTTGCTAAGGCTTTCTAAGTACTTGGTACGAGACCCGTAGACTCCAATTCCAGTTCCATCTTCGGTTTTGGAGCAATGACTCCTTCTCTGAACTCAATACCCATGGATTTACTGATCCATTATTTTTTGCAGTTCATCCTTATGGTGAATTGTTTCACAGAACTGTACTTTTTCATTATCTCTTTTTCCATATCCAGAGACAACTCCAATGAGATGGTGGAGATTTTTATCAGAAAATTATTAGATTGAATATTAGAAAGACAAACAATAATGCAGGTGTAGTATTATATTATTTAAAGACACCAATGAGCGATTAACGCATCGTATTACATGATGGGGTCTGAATTATTGATAATAGGATTTGTTGGGATTCTTTTCGATAGGCTTCCTAGGTCATCCATTTTCAGTTCCATTGCACTGAATATGAGGTACACACATATTATTGAATAATACTGAGGAAAACTGGCTAGACTAATGTTGTAAACGAAAGTTGATTTGAAGTTTGTCAATATCATCCTTTTGAATAGGACACCTACCAATGAATGTGAACAAAATACCTATAAATTCAATCATGAACTATCTCCTTATCTGAAATCTCACCCCAAACTCCCTTTTCTCCCCCTAAACTGTGGATCCAGCCCGACTGGCTCCGGCTTTTATGACGCGTCTGCCTCCCTTGGAGTTGTGCCAGAGTCCGGACTCCGGACTGTCTGGAACAGTATGGATAGCGTGCCAGGATTAGAATCTTACGTCGACTCAGACCGCCTCATCCGGGTTCCGGATTCCAGGGCGAGAAACAACACGAGTTTGTAGCTATATGAATATACAGGGTTCGTCAACGGGAGTTATTGGTCCCTTTAGAAGTTAAAGGACTGGGTTTATTTTTAATTCGACGAAACTTGTTTATCTCTGTTCTTGGAGGAGGAAACATTTTTGACAATGTAGTCAAAGGACCCCGCACTTTTTCTATATAAAAATGGCGTTCCGTCGAATTTCCCCAATTTTTGGTAAATGATAGTACTCGACATACTGATTGAATATGCCAAGTCCCAACTCAATCCTATGACTAGTTTACGAGATACAGGGTGTTGAAGTTGAAGAATACCTAATTTTTCTCGGCCTATATCTCTAAGATAGGACAAATGAATTCCAATTTTTCGGGAGCACGTAATAGTTATGCCCTTAGGCGCAAGAACTATATAGGTATTCGACCAAAACTGATTTTTATTACAGGGTGATTCTCATTTCAAATAATGTGTTTTTTTGAATATCTGAATATCAATGCTACAAATTGATAACAATTACAAAATGAGATTTATAGCCAAGTATGCTCTTCTTACATCAATTGAATTCGTAAAATATAATAATTATACATGGTGTTTCATTAATGCTGTTGATTGCATAATTGGTCTATCCTAAAGTTCATTGGGCCACCTCGTATTATCGGGTTGATTCCAGACATTCAAAATATTTTTGAAGGATGTATCCCAATGAGTTCCATGATATACAGAGTGATTCATCGATTGAAAAAATTGACAACCACGAAAAAATATTCAAAAACCACTATTTTTTTCATCACCCTCTAATTCGAAATTATTACCGTCGATGTAAGATTTTTTTCCACCAATATACTCAGTATGGATATTTCAATCAAATTGGGAATTTTCAGACCCATGCTATGACTAGTTTTTTTTATACATCGAATAATGTGAAAATAATTATGGAAAAGTAATTACATAATAACACGAAAAATTGCTCCGAATCGCAAAACTAGTAGTCACTAGTCAACTATGTCAAAAAATGTGATTTGTTCGTAAACAAAATCTAGTGGTCTTATTATAGGTCCGCTAGCAAAACATCTCGAAAATGTTTTTCAGAAAACATCAAACAAATCACAATATGCCCCCGAAAAAATCTCATCAACGACACAACTCATCAACGATCCCACTCATATAAACGTGCTAAAACTCATGAGCGTTCCAAGTCGACAGCGGTTTTTCCCAACTCAATCCTATGACTATACTTTTCGAAAAAAATATGAAACTAAACTTCCGCAAACGCCTAGTGAGAGGTGCGCGTTAATATATTTTGCAACTCTCCTTTATCCAACCAACTTCCAATCTTTTGATCATACTGTATATTGTTAGAATCGAAGTTAGTATATGCACATCGGAAAGACACTAAAGTTGGAGTTTTGGTTATGTAGATATTCGTTACCGGGTTCAGTATAGACTTGAAAGAAAAATGGAATACAGGAACATCAGTAGGTACCGAGGAATCATCATTTATCCAACACATCAAAAATATAGTAAAATAATAATGAAACAATCTCGAAGCCTCTTTCTTCCACTCAATATCAATTCAGAATTGCAATCATAGATTTTGAAAAAATACATGAACCAACTCGTTTTCCAACAACATCTATTTGTTGGAAGAAATAGTGGCATTAGGTAATGTATATCGTAAGATATACATACCGTAATAGATCGATAGACATCCTCAAATAACTATAAAATTATATTTTAGGGTAAGTTCTAGTCCCAATTCAAGTTGACAACTGATATTTTCGGAATCGGCGGGGTCGAATTAGTCTAGAAACTTGGGTTGTCACGAATTAATAAGTATGTTTTACTTCGTAGAAGTCGAATTTGGATTATCGCAACCAGATAGAATATTTTTCAGTAGGCTTAGAAAACAAAATCATGATATCAATAAATGTGTCTGTCATCCAGCAACTTTCGGGTTGTCAGTATCTTAAAATATCATATCAGCGTATATCTTTATTCTGAGTGTTTTTTAAGTCGTTTTCAGTAATTGTTTAGTGAATTTAGTGCGCATTATGGCATTTGCAAATAGGGTAAGATGTTATGTATGCGAAGGGAATTTCATTCCTAGACTCACAATTCGTATAAATCGTGAAGATAATGTTGATTTTCTGCAAATTGCAACATTTAGAAGACAAGCTGCTGGAAATCCTCCAATTGACATTTTTGATGATACCAGAGTTTGTTTCAATTGTCATAACAGTGTAATAATTGATATCAATGAGATGGAAAATAACCCAAACTGTCTTCGCCTAAATGTATTGAGTCCAGTAATGAGCCGTGCCTGCATAATCTGTAATGCTCGTCAACATGTTCAGAGAATAACTCTTGCATGTAGGGTGAACATTTTTGTTGTAACGAATATTTATGTTCCGGACTTTCTGAGAATTTGTGGTCATCATCTTGACCCTCATGGATTTCTCTTGAATAATTTGCATGGAGGTTTGAATTTTCTCAACAAACCCTATTTGATATGAAATATGCTTCAATTTCTACAGTGTATGAGAACAGTTGCCAATGAAAATAGACGTATTAGAAACTGGGATGATATTGATAGTTTTACAGAAGAAGAGTTCAAAGCTCTGACGTCGATTTCAAAAGAAGATTTTCAAGAACTTTATGGATTTTGTGATACAATCGAGCAAGGGGGAAATAGAAGGCATATCAAAAAGAAACATTTACTGACATTTCTAATCGAAATGAAACATGGAGTTTCAGATGAGTTTTTGAAAATCTTGTTTCATTTTTCTTCAAGACAAACAACTAGCTTGATAATATCGAATGTGAGGATATCTCTAATGCAAAGATTTGTAACTAATAATATTGGTTTCGACTCTATTACAAGAGACGATTATATTAATAGACACGTGTCTGTATACACCAATCAGCTATACAACCCTTCTCCCAATATCCCAAAAGCAATTGTGTATATAGACTGTACATATAACAAAATAGAAAAAAGTAGTAATTTCCGGATATTGAGACAATCCTACTGCTTCCATAAAAATGAGCACCTGGTTAAGCCTGAAATTATGGTCGCTCCTGATGGCTACATCTTGGCAATTAATGGTCCATACTTTTCT